AAGCACCTGAGAGAGAGTGGGCACCTCCCAGAACATTGTTTCGTTCCACTCCTAACAGAAATACTCCAGGTGGACAACTTCAGCAATCAGGAGCTCCTCAGTTGCTCATAGAAAATCCCACCTTGGAGTTTACAAAGACTTATGGGTAGAAAAACCACACTAAGTAATTTACTACACCGCACATATACAGTGACCCTTGTTGCCTTGGAACTCCCAGCTCCAGAAGGGAAGGAACCAGTAACTGCCACAGACAGTCCCTCTGAACATCTGTCTTTTGCACTTTTGTTGTAGGAAGATCCACGCCTGAAGTTTCCAGTACATATGCGGTCCAAGGCATCTTTAAACCCCAATGACCTCGGTCCTCTTCCTGTAAGTACACTGAGGGTACATGGAACTGCCACCAATGTTGATGGAGTAGCCCTGGGGGCATTCTCCTTCTCCAGGCTTCTTGGTTCCCCTTGGTCTGCATTTCTTCAAAGACCTGGGTGTTTGACTGGATTTTAATAGAACGCATAGTCCTTGGGAAAGATGTTGCAGAATTGCCAGCTGCTTGCCAAAGGTAGACCTTGTAGCTAGTGTGTGTAAGAGGCTTTCTCTGCAGTCAGCTATTTTGAAGCTTAGCAACCATCAAGTTCCGTCCACGTTGCTGATTTAGTCATCAGAACAAAAATACTTAAAACAGTGGGAGAAAAAGGCAGACATCATCACAGAAGTTTCTGTAAGTCATTTAGCCTGCAGCTATTGTAAAAGTTTTCTCCTTTGTTGGTGACTAGTGATAAACCTTACTTTTTAAATATATGTATATGTATCAGTTTGTTCTCTCTGGGGACCTGAGTGGGAGTGGAGCTATTTAATCTAAATTGAATTTTGAATGGAGTCTTCACCATGCATCCACCTCGACCCATCCAGTTAAATATGAAGCCTTCGAGGCTCTGAGACTCTTTCTAAATGGAAAGATGCTGGGAACTTTGGGGTTGTTGCTTTTGCAAGTGTAAGTGAGCATCCAGAATCTTGTGTTGCTAGGATAAGGACTGTCAGTGGCAAAACTGGAAGCTAGAAAGGTGAGAGTTCAAGATTTAGTCATTGGGTTGCACAGGTAGCCCTCTCAAAATCTGTTTAGATGGAAAGGGGTCAGTTGGTGAGTTTAGAAAGAAGAATATTTTCTGGATTTGTTGGATACCTGGGTTTAGATTGCAAGTGTTCAGATAATGAGGACATCCCAGCCTTTCCTTGAAAACATTATCCAAATCTGTTTAGTTTCTGAGTTTGAAAAGTGAGAGTTGGCAGCAGGGATGCTAGTATTAAATTATTCAGCTACCTGATAACAACTTAACGCAGTAACTTGTGTAACAGTTCCATGTAAACGCTCCTTTCCGCTCCCTTTAGTACTCGGTACAGATTTATTTCATTAAATGAACTATTCAACCCCAAACTCAACTGTTGCATGGTCTTCTGAGGCTGCCCGTGGAAGCTTTGGAAATAGCAACCCATCTCCTGCTTTTCATACAATGAGTGTCTCAAATGCATCTGAAACTATTAAACATCTAATAAAGAGTATTGTCAGACATTGTCATGAGTTCATTTGAAATGTTGGTATTTAATTTATTCTAAATGTAAACAAATGTATCTAGGAGAGAAGAATAGGAACATATCCTAGAGTTTTTAAATGTTTCCTCTGATTTTGGAATCCCCAAACTGACATTCTTATTCTCTCTCTCCCCTTTCCCTCCCTCATCCCGCCCCATACTAGCCTGGTTGGGAAGAAAGAATTCACCTGGATGGCCGAACGTTTTATATTGATCACAGTAAGTAGGCACTGTTACAGCCACGCAGGCGTTGCAGGTGAAGGGGTGGAGGGTCATTTGGATGTTGTAGTGCAAGCGTTGTAACTTGACTCTTTGTTTAGGCAGCCAGGTGTTATGTGGAGAGGATGAGGCCCAAGACGCAGTGCCCTCATACGGTACTGTGCATTCAGCCAGTTTGCTTTACATGAGCCCATCAAGCTTTCACCCACTCTTGTGACCTATTAACTTTTCTCTTTTAATTAAAAAAAAAAAAAATCTTGGTTGACATCCCCCTGACTTTTGCGCTTTTAATGAAAACACTCTGGCAATAGAAAATAAGATTAGAAGTGATGATTGAGTCACAGATCAATGTGTGACCGGTGCTTGAAGCAGCATATATGCCTTTTCAGTCACTGCCTTCGAAGGTCTAGTGGCAAAATGCCCATTCTGGCCTTATTTTCTATTCATAGCATGTTTCCTTGCACCCAACACACTAATACATACGTAGTTCTCTTCCTGACATCCTAGTAATATTTTTGCTGTAGGCATTTGCTCCAGCACCTACAAATAAGTGTGTGGTTTCTCGTTTCAACTAAAAGTTAAACTAATAAAGATGTGCTTTGAGCCAGTGGGTTGTTTTTGTTTTCTTCTTTTTCTTTTTTGAAGTAACACGTCCTTCGTGGGATCATATTTGTGTATCTCTTAAAAGTAGATTGAAAAAAAGAGGGCTTCAAGTAGACTTGAAGTTCAAAGAGTGCATGCAGTTGGGTAGCAGTTGGGTTTGTGTTTCCTTTTGGTTCATAAGCAGGACATTCGTGCCAGGATTCCACAGCCTCACGTTTCCTTACTGAGCAAAAGCACATTGGCAAACTGACCACTGAGAAGTCTGGCTGTGAGGGGCCCACACGTGGGTGGGCTTGTTGGATCTCACTGCCCTGGTCCCTCTTCCAGATGTTCCAGGGCACTGAGCACATCGTAGTCAGACCTTCACATCCGGCACTGGCATATGAGGGGCTGTTAAAAATGGAGTTACATTAAGAGGCCCCGAAGTTCAGAATTAGAGCAGAAAATGAAATCCTAGGTGCATGTGGGGGAGGGCTACCCTTTGGTTTAAATGATCAGTAAAAATACTGATTTACCTACTTTCTAGAATTTTACAGTGAGCATAAATCTGCTGTCATAGAACATGCTTTAGGATGTATGTGCTTACCCCTCTTTTTCCTCAATATACTAGTTATTTATAATTCTACTCTTAACAGACTTTGTTAAAATGACAGAGGGCTTTTACTTTTGTGTCCCACTAAAAATGAAAAATAGCTCCCTTTTAAGTTTTTCAGGTTTTGTTTTTTCACTTCAATTCCAGTTTTAAAGATAGGTATGAATGACCAGGTCTCAAATGATAACAGAATCTACACAACCTTGGCCTGCTGCACACAGAGAGTGTTGCGCACAGCATTGTGTCATGTTCTGCCTGGGGATGTGTAAGGCAACCTCAACAGAACTTTGTGAATATTCTTATTGCGTTGTTGTTGTTAGGTGCTGTCGTGTCAGCTCCGACTCGTAGTGACCCAACATACAACAGAACGCAGCATCATGTTATAGTGCATTACAATGAGCCAAAAACAAGAAAAATACTGCTATAGATGACCGGGTCCAGTTGTACATTAGAAATGGTAAAATGATAGACTGTTTCCTTAGGGGCAAGCGTAGCTCGAGTGTAACATACAGTAGATGCTTGATGAAGGCACAGTGGTCAAGAGTTAGACTGTTAACAAGGCTGATGTTTTGAACCTACCAGCCACTCCATGAGAGAAAGATGTGGCAGTCTCCTTCCATAGATGAAAGCTTTAGAAACCCTATGGAGCAGTTCCACTCTGTCCAATAGGTTGATAATGAGTCAAAAGCAACTTGATGACAGTGAGTTTAGGTGCTTGATAAATGGAAGTCACGTTCACAGAGGGTCACAGGTGAGGGTCTCAGAAGTCAATATCCCTGATCAGAAAACAGAATCCTTGCCTGAGAAGCAGCATCAGTAACTGAAGCCTTAGGCTTGCCTAGCTCCTGGCTTCCAAGAGTCAGAGAGGGTGGTAACCTGCTGGATGCCTGCTCATGTCCTGCACTTCATCAGCTGACCCATGACTTCAAACACTCATCTCAGACACACCCTATTCCTCTTGCCCAGAATGGTCCTGGGAAAACTCCCCTTAGCTCTGGAAATCAATGATGTGGTAAAGATGATAGACCGAGCTTGGTTGATCTGAGCTCTGAAAACCAGTTGCCATCCAGACTGTTTTGACTCATAGGGACCGAGCACATCAGAGGAGAAGTGGGGTCCATGGGGCAGATTTTTCAGAAGTAGGTCACCAGGCCTTTGTTCCGGGACACCTTTGGGTGTCTCCAGCCTCTGTTTAGTCAGCAGCTGAGGGCATTCACCATCTGCACCCCCCAGTGACTCTTGATCTGAGCTATACCACGGGGTATGTGTGATCATTTACATGGGGATTGAAACTCACCTTTGCACAACCGTCCAGAAAGGTTCTCTTAACCAGGTAGAGTGTAAATTAGATGACCAAAATGACTACTTAAGAAGATCTGCTTAGGTGACTCTTAAGTCAATACAACATTTCCGTTGGTTCTGCATAATTTGTTAAGATTTACTCAAGGGAAGGACGGAAAGTGGGTACACGGCAATGAAACATAGTTCAATTCATCTGCCTTGCTCCCAAAATCCAGTCTGTGGAGTATACAGAATAACTGCCATTTTAAAAAAGGCTCTGTCAGGCTGGCAGATACATTCCAAAATGGGTTTGGAATTACCTGGTAGATAACACTTAAGAGTTTGCCTACCTTCATAATAGAACCTCTCTTTCTAAATCACTTGTCTGCATCCATTTTTCTGGCAAGATTCATCATCTAATTTTGCTATCCTGCAACTGCAGGACAGAGACCAGGCCACCCCTACCTGTGCCATTTTATATGGAGAGCAATCATCTTGAAGTTAGAGTCAACTTCTGTTCCAGGTTGTAGGGGCATGTTTACACAGCATGACAGAGACAACAGTGCACTTGTCTTAATTAAACAATTGCTGCTGTTAGCTGTTGTCAAGCCCATTTCTGACTCATCGTGCACCTACGTGTGACAGCAGAACTGCTCCCTAGGGTTTTCTGGGCTCTATTCTTTACCAAAGCAGTTCTCCAGGACTTTCTCCCGCAGAGACGCTGGATGGGTTCAAACCGCCAGCGTTTAGGTGAGCAGCCGATCACAAACTGTTTGCACCACCCAGGGTTATAGGTTATTTTACTGTTTTCTGCTTCATACATTCTTCTTCAGAAGTCAGATATTTTCAAGATTAACCATCCTAAAGATCAACCGTCCTAAAGATCCGATTTTGGAAGGCATGAGTGGTTATTATCAGTCTCCTGTTTGGACTCCTCAATTCATTTGGTCCACACTTTTTGAGTAGCTCCTGCATCACAGGTTTGATGTAAAATGTTAAGAAGATAAGTGAATCTCTCTCTGGCTGTCTTAGGAGTGATGCATTCATTTTAATGACCAGGTACACCAGCAGCTGAGTACTTGGCTGTACGTATCCTGTTTACAAGTTATAGGAGAAAATTGCCCCGTCCGTGTCTTTTCTGCCCACAGCCTTACCAAGTCTGTTAAGAGTAGCTAAACTGGGTTTCTTATTCTTCTTCCTTCTTGTTCCATTATTTGAAATATAATGTCCCAAAGACTAAAAGCAAGTTTAGATTCATCAGTTCTAGGGAAAAATTGATAACTGGCCATTATCTATTCATATATTATCCCTGTTTACCTGCAAAATTGATCTTTCACCACACAGAAATGTATGTGGTTCTGAAAGCTTAGATTGTTTTAAGTGACTTTGTTTTCACCACCAGCTGCATTCAACATTTAAAAGAAAACCAAAACAAGACTGATAACATAGTAACCTCCTGTTACATATTGAGAAGCTCTGGTAGTGCGGCAATTAAAGCATTTGGCTGCTAACCCAAAGGTCAAGGGTTCAAACCCACCAGTCACTACAGGGGAGAAAGGTGAGGCAATCTGTTTCCATAAAGATTTACAGCCTTGGAAACCCTATGGGGCAGTCCTGCTCTGTCCTAAAGGATTGCTACAAGTCAGAATTGACTTGATGGCCATTGGTTATATCCTGGGAACTATATTAAATATTAAACTATGCAGAACTGAATAACACACAGTCCCTGCCCTGGAAGGGCTTGCATTCTAGTAGTGAGGACCAGTAGGCATTTCAAGCATTGTAATAGAGGAGAGGAGTGAACCAGTTGTTACGTAGAAACAGAAAGGCAGTGACTGTGCTTCCTTGGTGTGAATGGTTGGGTGCCAGGATGGAAGGCAGGCTGCAAGAGCCTTACAGAGCAAGTTACTCCTCAGACAGAAGTCCAGCAGGCAAGCACAGTGGAGAGTGGGGAAGATGTACAGGTGTGCAAACCTGGGGTTATACCATGTCTACAGAAGTGCTCTGGTGGCTTAGTGACTGAGGCATTTGACTGCTAACCAGAAAGCTGGTGGTTCAAACCCACCAGCCACTCCTTGGAAGGAAGATGGGGCAATCTACTTCCATAGTGATACCGCCTCGGAAACCCAAGGAGGGGTTGCTATGAGTTGGGTCTGACTTGAGGGCACATAACAGCAACAAACGCTCCTTAGAGCAATCAGAAAGGGATAGGAAAGAAGGACAAGGGGAAATGGTAACCACGGGGAGAAAGTGGGAGGAGTGCTCTGTTACACTGTGGAGATTGCAATCAGTGTCACAAAACAAAACGTGTATGTTGGATGGAAAACCAATTTGTTCTGTAAACTTTTGCCCAAATCACAATAAAAAGTTATCAAACAGAAAACATTTTAAAAAAGAAGAAGAGTGCCACCAAATATTTTTAAATTCCTAATATGGTTATTAAAACTAAGTTATTCTCATCAGCCCACTTTCAAAGGGTATGCAGGAAGGAAACAGAAGCCTAGTCTTTGTTTTCAAACATATTATTCCTCGCCAGATCACAAGCTGAATATCTGCTGCCAGGTCTGCCCTTACCTGGAAGTCACCCGTGTCTCATTGTAGTGCTAGACCCAGCATCCTTTTCCTTTTAAAAAAAAAAAAAAATTAAATGTCCTTTTGTATTTCTTTTTCTGTTTTCACCAGCTTAGATTTCCTAAAACTCCAGAAAGAATCCATTCTTCCCCAGTCTCCCCCTCCCCCCGTGAGCCCACTTTCCATCCCCCGCTCAGCACACAATCACATGTGTACACACACACACACACACACAGAGGAATCCATGAAGTCTTTGTAATTGTACACAGTCACAAACCCCAGGTGAGCCAGGGCCGCTGCCGTGTTACCAGCTCCACCACTGTGCTGTAGGTAGTGTTGAACCATCTTGTTGACCTTGACTTATTGGGAGAAAGAAGACCACCTCTGTTCCTGAGAACTCTCTCTGGAATCTTCCTGGGCTGTAATCTAAGTCTCGTTTTTTTTCCGACTGCCTCAGCTGCTTTCTCTCTGGTGTGCATGAGTGATACAGGTGATAGATTATTCAGCTGTTGGATGTAGGATTCATAATTGGGGGGAAAAAACAGTTTCGCAACTCCAGGAGCAAAGAAAAAAGCATTTGAAATGAGAAAAGGCCATGTTTGTCTTTGTGAGCCTTTAGGGGGCTGAGGTCTTTTAGGCCTTTCTCCTTCCCACCTCTAATTAAATGAGAAGCAAGATCAGGTCATAAATCCTTGAAAGAACAGGGTTTGTAATTGGATTTCGGCAGCCTGCCTGCCAGGAACAGTGGGAATAGATGGTTTTCCTTCAGATGTACATTGTTGGTGGAGTGTTTTTAACCAAGCAGTGTGCAGAGGGTTTGCCACACACACAGCACAGCTGCCTTCTAACCCTGAAATACTAAGTTGTTATCTTTGGGGGCCATGGTGGGGCCAGGACAGCTTTTGAAGAGCCTAGAAATGTTTTGGCAGACGTAGAATAGATTTGAGCTAATGTGTCCATTTTTTTAATTATTTTTTTAAATTTTCAGATAGCAAAATCACTCAGTGGGAGGATCCAAGACTGCAGAACCCAGCTATTACTGGTCCGGTCAGTATATTCAAGTTCTTACTCTTCAGTGTAATATCTTGGTTGTCTCTAAGTATCTGTATTCCTGCTTATCGTGGTGCCAAGGGACAGCTGTAATGGAGTAATGTAATATTATTCCCATCTTCTCCTTCCCAGAGTTCCCATGGCGGGTACAGTGGCATATGCCTTTTCACAGAGCTTTCATTTTAAACAAAGAAAATAATGGTAGCAGAATTAAACATTTTCTCTTCTCCTTTATAAAGCATGGGTTAAAAGTGTATTTGAAGTTTCCTCCCTTCCTCTTGGCAGCACTGTGTCATTTATTTAAGCCAGGGTATAAATGCATGCTGATAGGGTTAGCCTATACTTTTCCTCTCTCCCAGTTCTCACATGTGGAAACGTTTGGGTGAGCTGGTAGCTAGCCTCTGGAGCTGCAGGGTTAAGGATCTTTAACTGTATTCTTACCAAACCCAACCCAACCCACTGCACTAAGTCAATTCCAACTCATAACAACCCTACGGGATAGAGTAGAACTGCCCCATTTGGGTTTCCAAGGCTGTGAAACTTTACAGAAGCAGACAGCCTCATTTTTCTCCCACGGAGTGGCTGGTGGGTTCAAACTACCCACCTTTTAATTAGCAGCCGAATGCCTTAACCACTGTGCCACCAGAATGCCTTAACTTTGTCACACTCCCTCTCCTGTTTACCAGGCTAGGTAGGAAAAGAATCAGTTCTGCCTTCAGTATAACCAGTAGCCAGTTGCCGTTTGAACTGACTCCAACTCGTGGCAAACCCATGTGTGTCAGAGTAGAACTGTGTTCCCTGGGGTTTTCAGTAACTGGTTTTTCAGGAATAGATCACCAGGCCTTTCTTTCCAAGTGCCTTTGGGTGGGCTTGAATGTCTAGCCTTCCAGTTAGCAGCCAGTGCATTAACCACTTGTGCACCCAGGGACTCTCGCCTTAGGTATGCTGCTGTGGTATGCCATCGAGTTGATTCCAGCTCACTGCAACCCTATATGACTGAGTAGAACTGCCCCATAGGATTTCCGAGGCTGTAATCTTTATGGGAGAGATTGCCAGGTCTTCTCCTTTAGAGCAGCTGGTAGGTTTGAACCGCCGACCTTTCAGTTAGCAGCTGAGCACTTAACCACTGTGCCACCAGGGCTCCTTGCCTTAGGTATAGTGACCTCTCAAAATACTGCTTCACACTGTACTCACGAAAGGGAGTGAATCCCAGTGTCTTTCAGCAGTAACAGACAACTCAGTGTAGGAATCCTGCCACCGGGTCTCTGTAATGGGCCACATGCATCCCAGAAAACATACCGTTCTCTTTGTCAGCAGTTATCTAAGTGTGAGCATACAATTTGGAATTACAGGAGATGTGCTGGGATCAGCAGAAGAGGGCAAACTTTAAAAGACAAGGAGCAAAAGGATGCAAAGTGCTTTATATCTGTGCTAAGAGGCATACTTAAAATATTAACGTGGCTTGGATCTGACTTGGTGCAAGCAATGTTTTAAATTATAAAGCTCTGGCCATTTGAAAACTTAGAAGATATTACAGTGCAAACACTGCTGGACCTCTGACATCCCATTACTGATTGGTTGGTTTTGTTCAGCTACTTTGATACTGTTTCCTGTGCAAAGCACCCAGTGCCTAAGTGAAAACAGCCAGCCAATAGCTACAGTCAGCTAGTAGCGTGACAGACACCTGCCTTACTAGCGTGGCTCCCTTTTGATGCATCCACAGTCACCACTGGTTGTTAGAATAGTATTTCCCCTTCTTCATCATTAGAAGCAAGATAGATACAAAACCAAGGCTGTCAACAGGCTCCTGAGTGATAGGAGACTTGAGCACGGTGATTCCAACACCTTGTCAAATACTTCTGTCCTTTCTTTGATCATCTGCCTTCATGCAGATACTGGTGGTTTTTATTGTTTAGCATCATGAATCTAGGTAGATTTTCCCCCAAGAAAAATCTCTCTTTCTTTCCATTTTCTGTTAATAAAAGAGCCTCTTTTATTATTATTAGTTTTGTTGCTTCCAGTAGAAGTGCGTCTGTATAAGTAACTATTAACTTAGTGTAGACATCCTGCTTTAATTGTCATTCAGTTCTAAATATTTGGTAATTTCTATGATAATCTCTCTCCCTGATTTAAAGGATTTAGAATGTGCTTATTATTTTCTAAGGATATGGGAAGGTTTTTGGGGGGGTTGTTTTTGGCTTCTTTTTTTTGTTTTTAATTTTATTGCATGGAAGTATTATTTCAGGGATATTGATTATTGACTATAAGAGACTTCCTTGCAAGCTTAGTCATTTTTTGCAAATGTTCTTTTTGGGTTTGAAAAAGATTGTATATTCTGTCATTGTTGGGTATATGAAAAAAAAAAAAATTATGCCATCGAGTTGGATCTGACTCATAGCGACCCCTTCTTGGGTTTCCGAGGCATTATCTCTGTGGAAGTAGATTGCCCAACCTTCCTTCCGAGGAGTGGCTGGTGGGTTTGAACCACCAGCCTTCTGGTTAGCAGTCAGATGCCTTAGTCACTACACCAGAACATGTCCATTAGATCAAGCCCATGGTGTTTGCTCCATCCTTACTCTTTCTTGGTTCTTTGATCTAACCAAAAAAGTTGTATCAGAATCTTCCATGGTGATTGATTGTCAGTTTTGTCCAAGATGTATCCATTACACTTAACTTTATTTTTATTATATTTGCCTTGGTGCCTTTTCCATCTTTTAACTTGTAATATTTTTCCTCCTTTCTTGCCTTTTGTTAGTCTAATAGAATATACTCTTTATTTCGCTGTTTGATTGGAAGTTGTACTTTATATTTCTATACTTTTAGTGCTCAGATTATAGTTTTTAACCAACATACTGGTAGCATAGTGCCTAAGGCACTTGACTGCTAACCAGAAGGCTGGCAGTTCAAACCCACCAACCACTTCTTGGAAGGAAGATGGGGCAATCTACTTCTGTAGTGATACTGCCTCAGAAACTCAAGGAGGGGTCGCTGTGAGTTGGGTCCGACTAGACGTCACATAACAGCAACGACAACAAACTTCACTAAAGTCAAAATTAATCACTCTCTTCTCCCCTCCTGGGTATTATAAGGATTTCAATGAAGTTTATGTCATTCTTCCTGCTACCATTTTCTACATCCATGTTGGGTGGAATTTTAAAACTGTTGTATCTTTAAATTTTCCAAAACTCATTAATACTTTATCTTTCAGCACTCAATGTTAATTTCATTGTAACTGGTTGCTGTTGAGTTGACTTCAACTCGTGGCAACTACATGTGGGTCAGAGTGGACTTGTGATCTGTACGGTTCTCAGTGGCTGATTTTTCAGATTTAAAAGCTCTAGATGGACTCAAACCTTTAACATGTCAGTTGGCAGCCAAGTGTGTTAATCATTTGTACTAAATGGGATGATACTATGTGCTTTAAAATCAGGAAAAGTGTGTGTCAGGGTTGTATCCTTTTACCGTGCTTATTCAATCTATGTTGTTGTTGTTGTTGTTATTATGTGCTGTCGAGTCGGACCCGACTCATAGCGACCCCTCCTTGGCTTTCCAAGGCGGTATCACTACAGAAGTAGATTGCCCAACCTTCCTTCTGAGGAGTGGCTGGTGGGTTTGAAACACCAGCCTTCTGGTTAGCAGTCAAATGCCTTAGGCACTATGCTACCAGAGCTCCCCTTATTCAATCTATACACTGAGCAAATAATCTGAGAAGCTGGACTATATGAAGAAGAATGCAGCGTCAGAATTGGAGGAAGACTCATTAATGACCTGCAGTATGCAGATGGCACACGACCTTGCTTGCTGAGAATGGAGAAGACTTAAAACGCTTACTGATGAAGACCAAAACCTACAGCCTTGAATATGGATTACAACCTCAACATAAAGAAAACAAAAGTCCTCACAACTGGACCAATGAGCAACATCATGATAAACAGAGAAAAGATTGAAATTGTCAAGGATTTCATTTTAATTGAATCTGCAGGCAGTGCCTATGGAAGCAGCAGTTAAGAAATCAGTGTATTGCATTGGGCACATCTGCTGCAAAAGAACTCCTTAAAGTCTTAAAAAGCAAACATGACACCTTGAAGACTAAGGTGTGACTGACCCAAGCCATGGTATTTTCAGTCTCATATGCATGTGAATGGTGGACAGTGAATGAGGAAGACTGAAGAAAAAATGATGCCTTTCGATTATGTTGTTGGCAAAGAATACTGGACTGCCAGAAGAATGAACAAATCTGTCTTGGAAGATGTACAGCCAGAATGCTCCTTAGAAGGGAGGTTGGTGAGACTTCATCTCATGCTTGGGACATGTTATCAGGCGAGAGCAATCCCTGAAGAAGGACATCAGTAGAGGGTCAGTGAAAGAGAGGAAGACCCTCAACAAGGTGAATTGACACCGTAGCTGCAACAGTAGCCTCAGACATAGCAACAGTTAGGAGAATGGCACAGGACCAGGCAGTGTTTCATTCTGTTGTACATAGGGTCACGGGGTCAGAAGCCGCTTGACAGCACCTAGCAGCAGCAGGATTCCTGTATGTGGACAAATTTCTTGGTCCACCATTAGTTCTTGCATCCACCTTAAGTTTTCTTCTTACTGAAGTGTAGCTACTAGTTCAGTAGTTGTCAGTGTGGTCTGCAGACCAGCAGCATCAGTATCACCAGGCATCTTGTTAGAAATGCAAAATTTTCTATTCTACCCAGACCTAGAGAAGCAGCAGTACAGGTGGGCTTAGTAATCTTTGATTGACGGAGCTCTCCAGGGGATTCTGATGCCCAATCACATTTGAGAACCAATGATCAAGCAGCAGTTTCCATGACAATCTGAGAGCAGTAAACTCCCTTAGTCTTTGACTTAAAATGTCTTAGTTGCCCTCTCTATTAAATGATAAAGAAGCCCAGGTGCCACAGTGGTTAAGTGCTCTGTTGCTAACCAAAATGTCAGCAGTTTGAACCCACCAGCCGCTCCAAGGGAGAAAGATGAGGCAGTCTGCTTCCCTAAAAAAGTACAGCCTTGAACCCCTGTGGATCGCTAAAAGTCAGAATCAACGCAACAGCAGTGGGTTTGGGTTTTTTCATTTTTATTACATGATAGTTTAGCTGATTATAGAATTCTCAGTTGAAAATTCTTCTCCCTCAATACAGAGGAGGTATTCTTTCATGACTTCTGGCCTCTGTAACAGATGATGGGAAGTTTGATGTCAGTCTAATTGTTGTCTCTTCTTCTCTGGTGATTTTTAATTTTTCTGTGTCTTTGGTGTTCTGAAGTTTTACTGTCACGTATCTAAGTGTGACTATCCGTTTGTTCTGCTGTGGACTCACTGATTCTTCAGTAGAGAGGATCATCATATCTTTCTTTAGTTCTGGAAGATTCTCAGTTATTATTTCTTCACATGTTGCATCTTTCCCATTTTCTCTGGTCATCGGGATCAATAATTCCTGTTAGGCATTTTGCTCACTTTCACACTTGTATCTTTCTTATTGCTTAAATTTCATATTTTCCGTCTCTCTCTCGTTGCTGTATTGTGGGTTATTACCCAGCTCTTGCAGTTAATTCTTTCTTGAGCTTTTTATAGTCTCTTTATCAATTCATGGTATATGTTATTTTAGCTATGATGTTTAATCACTCAAAGTTCCATTTGGTCTTTCTAGGTTTGTTGGTCTCTTTAGTTATTATTATTCTGTCCTGTTCTTTCATTTTTTTTCATTCCTTATTTTATCTTTTTAATTAAGTTTTTAAATACTTCCTTTACTAGCCTTATAGCATCATACAGATTGTCCTATTATCTCTGGTTCTAAATCTCCCACTTGTTATGTAAGTCCCGGCCTTTATTTAATGCTAACATCTTAGTTAGGGTTCAAGTCACACAATTAGTATTGCACCCACTTTGTTGTATGGATTTATTACAGTTCTGTTTCTTTTATTTTTCACCTACTCATAGTCCTAGACAGGAGGTAAGCTTCCTTGCAGTGCTCTGGGCCAGTGGGTAGAACTTCTTGTCCCCTTTTCAGATGTGAGATGTTAAACAGGGGACTCTGTCCTGGCTCTGACATCATAGTGACTATAGACCAAATTCTCTGTCCCTGTGGGAGGATTAAGACCCAAGCCTGAGCAGGTGTACCTAGGTCCACTGCCCTGCTTATTTCTCTAATGTTGAGTCCTTCTGCTTATCTCATATCTACAGTTTCTCTCTTTTTCCCAAGCTTTAAAAATATTAGTTACAGGTGGTTCCATCATTGCTCCATTTGTAGGGAGAGGAGGAGCTGTGGTAGCTCAGCAGAGCCTTACTGTGAGTCTAAATGCTCTTTATGGAGCAAACATCAGCCTGAGAAGTGCTTCATTAACTGCTACCTGCACATGCCGCTCAAATGAGTACTGTCTCTTATTTTTGTGACACTTTGTGCTTTTCCAAGAACTTTATGATCAGCTGGTTTGAAACTCTCAGCAGTCTCTCAGGAAGCCAGAGCAGATGCTGTTCTTCCCAATGTGTCAGAAGCTCAGACCAGCTGATTGTGTGGCCAGAGAGTCCCAGCCAGTGTCAGAATCGGGCCTGGAACCCAGGTGTGCTGGCATCCCCACTCTACCCAGTTGGAGTGAGCCCTGCCCCACAAGAGCCTCAGTATCCACCAGACAATAATGACAGGAAGATCTTGAAAACCAACTTGCATAATAAGTCAGGTTTTCATTTTGTACCCCCCAAAAACACAAAATTAATACAGAGCAAAAGAGCTTCAATCAACAGACATGTTTGATTTTCCAAATAGCCTTGTTTTACAAGTTCAATTGTATGTAAGAAAATAAGATGGCAGATTTTCAAGGCAGAAAAAATAATTTGGCATATCTGATACACAAAGTACACTATATGTGTCATTCATTCTCTGCCAAGCCTTTACTCTATAGATGTTTTTGACCTATTTAAGAGAAACGTATAAAAACACACTTTTCTTATTCCATCATGAGAACTACCTCTAGAGAGAAATGGTAATAAGTATTGGAGGAGGAGGATATTGATGTTTCAGCTTTCATAACGTCATTCCCTAGAAGAGGCCAGAAATAGCATCGCATTCTTCCCACCCACATGTCGTCAGCACTCACCAGATGACAAGGCAGAAAAGGGAATGGATACTGCACACTGTGGTCAATGTTTAGAAATGTATTCTTTGAGAAATTTGTCATTTAAGACAGAGGAACATGTGTACCCAATGATGAATGTTTAGGCTTTTTTCCACCATTTTCAGGGGAAAAACAAAAAATATCACCGGGAATCACACTCTTAGAAATGAACGAGGCAAGAAGTCCATACAGTCAGACTCTTCTTTTACTTTGAAGAAATTCCCAGGGGAGAGGTTCTAGCACCAAACCAAACCTGTTGCCACTGAGTCACTGGCGACTCCTAACAACCCTGTAGGACACAGTAGAACTGCCCCGTAGGATTTCCAAGGCTATAATCTGTAGGAGCTCTGGTAGCGAAGTGCCTAAGGCACTTGACTGCTAACCAGAAGGCTGGCGGTTCAAACCCACCAGCCACTCCTCAGAAGGAAGATGGGGCAATCTACTTTCGTAGTGATACTGTGATACTGCCTCGGAAACCCAAGGAGGGGTCGCTATGAGTTGGGTACAACTCGACGGCACATAACAACAACAACAATCTGTACAGAAGTAGACTGCCACATCTTTCTCCCACGGGGAATCTGGTAGGTTTGAACCACCAACCCGCTGGTTAGCAACCATGCGCTTAACAGGCCTCCTGGTCCTGTCACAGAGCTGTTGTAATAGAATCTGCCCTAACATTTGGGCAGCTCAAAAGCTGACATGAGATAAAAGTCATTTCTTCAGCTTAATTCCTCCTTCATAGTTCTTAATCATAGCTCAGAGCATCAGCTTAACACTGTCCCTCCTCAGGACCTTGTCCTCACTGTGCTCACCATGGTTCATTCTTTCCTGTCTCGCTGGTGTCTGCTCAGATGTCCCCTCCTCAGAATGGCCTGCCCTCACACCCACTGCCCGATTGCTGCCTCTGAGCACTTACCATTACTTATCCCTTCATCACTACCCATCACTCACAATGGCCTGTAAATTCCAGGAAGGGATCATGAGAGAATCTTTGGCTTTTATACTGATTTCACTAGCATCTAAAGTGCCTGGCTCACAGTTAGGTGCTCAGGAAATACCTGTTGGATGATTCAGCAAATGAATGACCAAAGAATGGATAAATGGATAAACTGAACAAGAGGGGAAATCTTAGTCTGTGATGGGTGTGCTGTTGGTGGAATAACAAGAACAGGATGGTCTCTTCTTGGAGCTTCTATGAGAACATTGTATCTGTTTTCTTATTTTGGTGGTTGTACAAATAGTGACATTTCTACCTTATCCAGAATCAAAATTTATCCACGAATTTGTCAAAATAATAGGCCCAAAATAAATAGGGCATCAACTTGCATGGTCTGTGGGAAATCAAATGACACCTGACTTTTTCACTATGAACACATCATAAACCCACTCTCCTCGAATTGATTCCCATTCGTAGCAATCTTATAGGACAAAGTAGAGCTGTCCCATAAGGATTGCAAGACTGCAGATCTTTACAGATGCAGACTGCCATGTTTCTCCCACAGAGCCACTGGTGGGTTCAAACTGCTGACCTTTAAGTTAGCAGCCACTAACTTAACCACACACCACCAGGACTTGTCAGCCCCTGGTAACTACTGATAAACTCTTGCCTCTGTGTGTTTGTCTGTTCTAGGTAACACCCTGCCATCAAGTCAGTTTAGACTCACAGTGACCCCCCATTGGGTTTCCAAGGTGATAAATCTTTATGGGAGTAGGTTACCTCATCTTCCTTCTGCAGATCAGCTGGTGGGTTTGAACTGCTAACCTTCTGGTTAGCACTCACATGCCTTAGATAGTTGGCATGAATGATTTATTTCACTCAGCATATTGTTTTCAAGGTTCATCTGTGTAGTAGCTTATGCCAGAACTTCATTATTTTAAAGACAGTAATGGAACAATGGAACATTACTGTTCCATTGTTTATATAGCACACACTTTGTCCATTCATCTGTTAATGGACACTTGGTTATTTCCACCTTTTTGGCTATTGCAGATAATGCTGCAGTGAACACTGGTGTCTTAAGTATCTGTTTGAGTGCCTGCTTCGGAGGCCCTTGGGTGTATATATAGTTAGGAGCGAGTGAAAGCTTTCTTGAGTGTCAGTGTGATTGTTTGCAGGGATGAAAGCCCGTTCGATGCTGACTAGCCCTGATTGGTCCTAAGATGCTCCCATGCACCTCTGTAGCCATCATGTATATTGTCCACAGACGATAAGGACAGTGAGCATTTAAAGTTTATGATTGGTCAACTTCTCAGCATACCCAGAATGTCAAGTATATTGTTTGCATGATCTGTGTTTATAAATTTCTCTTCTAGGCTGTTCCTTACTCCAGAGAATTTAAGCAGAAATATGACTACTTTAGGAAGAAGTTAAAGAAACCCGTGAGTAATCATGTCTCCAGAAATGCTGTGCTTTATCATTTGTTACATTCCCAAAGTTACTTCAGTGAGAACTTGTTTGCCGTTTTTATACATAAACTGACGTCACCTTTCCTTTCCCACTGCACTTCAATCTGAATTTTCTTCTTAACAGAATTGGTAAATGGAGATTAACCATGCCTGGTAATTTCTTATGTGACATTTTTTTTCATTAGAAATTATTTTTATGGGCTATACAATTCAGTCCTTTAGTCCCCCTACCAAAAAAAAAAAAAAGTCTGGGGAAGCCTATTCATTAGTTTATGGTTATCTTAACAAGCTAACAATGAGTCAGTAGAGTAGCCTAGTTAGAAAAATGTTCACATTCTTCCTTCTCAGTTCAGAAGTGTGGTTTAATGATAATATTTGGCAGGGTTAGGAACAAGTGTGGTTTTCTGATTAAAATTTTCACTGACCATTTAAGTCTGAGAAACCCTAGCAGATTACATTATGTAATCATAATGTTACATTTTCTACTCACATGCCTCCCACCCCAACCTCTTCAACACTGTGTCTTCTGTTTTACTTTCTGGCTTTACCTTTGGCCAGTTTTCTCCTATTTGCTCATTCAGTATTGGGGTACCAGCCACCCATTGGGGAAGGGAGAGTTCCAGGCACAGCCCAGAGCTGACCCACTTCCTGTGTCTGTCACCATCTCTTCCTGTTCCATTCCCTCAGCTGATGCCTTATTTTCTGGGTGTCCATGATGGACAAGGCCCTGGGGACGCAAAGATAAAAGAGACACGGTCCCAAGGAGCTCGCATTCTCAGGGGTTCCACTCTCTGTTCCAAACTCCTGATTCAGGTAGCTCTGGGTAACTGCGTGTGAAGTGACTCTTGGTCCTTCGAAGCTCAAATGTCAACACATAGAATTCCTCAGTGAGTGCCCCGCATTTCCACTGTAAGCAGTGGTACCGTCATTTCTCGTTCTAGGACCTACTAGTGTTTTCTTCCTGGAAACGGGCTCAGCAGATTCATCCCCTGCAAGGCTGACCCTAGACTTCATTTTTCTGGAAGGCAGTTACTCATAGCCTGGGCCAAGATCATTTATTTTCATGTTGGTTAACTGTGAGATGCTTCCCCAAAACTTAGCATAATCAGAGACCTGCCCCCAATGACAACAAAATTAGCATATAGTCATCAGGGTACGGATCTGCCAACTTGGACCTCTGTTAGAGCTGAAAATGGCTCCAACTTAGCTGTTGTTGTTGGGTGCCATCAAGTCACTTCTAACTCATGGTGACCCCACGTGACACTGGAACCACCCCACAGAGCTTTCTAGGCTGTGATCTGTACAGAAGCAGATTGCCAGGTTTTTCTCCCACAGAGCCACTGGATGGGTCTGAACCACCAACCTTTCAGTTAGCAACCAAGCGCTTAACCATTGTACCACCAGGACTCCTTCTCAGCCTAGCTAGGTGGGGATTGTTGGTTTTGATTACCAAGGCTAACGTCCCCTCCTCTGGCTGACCAATATACAGCGGTAACTGTATGTGTTCCAGTGGCTGGATGAATGCCCCCTGCTTGAGGACACTTTTCCTCCCCTCAGCCAGCCTTTCTGCAGCACAGGGCGCTGACTCAGTCTGAACAACAGCTGGCATGCTGGGTTCTGTCTCAACACAGCAGGGATTTATATCTCTGTGCGGAAAACCCCATCACGGAGGGCATCTCAGTTGGAGCCATTCATTATTGATTCATTTAAATGCTGTCATTGTTCTACCTTTTGTTGTTGTTTTCTATTTGGGAGTAAGGTATATAGTCACTATATGGTGATGTGCTTTTTTGTTTCTTTCTTTCATGTAGGCTGATATCCCAAATAGATTTGAAATGAAGCTTCACAGAAATAACATATTTGAAGAGTCCTATAGGAGAATCATGTCGGTGAAGAGACCAGATGTCCTGAAAGCTAGACTGTGGATTGAATTCGAATCAGAGAAAGGGCTTGACTATGGGGGCGTGGCCAGAGAATGGTTCTTCTTACTGTCCAAGGAAATGTTCAATCCCTACTATGGTCTCTTTGAGTACTCTGCCACGTAAGTGTATAGTGTGCATTCATAGCGTGTTCCCCCACTGAGTTGGTTTTGTTCTTAATGGAAAGAATAAGCAGCTCGCTCCTGTGAGATGAATTAATGCTGCTAATTTCACTGCCACCCCCACCTGGCCCTTCTAAGTCCAGAACGGGCTCTCACTACGTGGTGGGATAATGTTCTCTGTGACCACCTAAAATTGGTTCTTCTCTTGTCTGTTGGGTTCATGTAATTGAAAGTGAAAATGTGCCAGGAAATTATGGTAAGAACGAGAGGCAATTTTCGTTTGTAACATGTTAATTCAAGAGGGAAATTGGTCAGTGTTAGAATCCAGAAAGAGGAGTCATTTTATGAACAGAAATAGTTTCTGAAGTCACAGAACTTAAATCATGAGGACTTGGGGGACCCAGTTTTTGGATACAAAGGATCATGCCCTGGACCAATGGGAAGATCCAGGTTCCCCCTTGTGTTAGGTTTCCATCATTGCCAGGCACCGAGACTAAGGAGACTCATTGGCCCTCAGCAAACAAACAGGGGCTCCTCTCGAGCCTGATCATTTCCACTCCAGGCTGTGGAACTTCCAAGGGTATAGTGGTGTAGTGCCTAAGGCACTAGACTGCTAACCAGAAGGTTGGTGGTTCAAACCCACCAGCCACTTCTTGGAAGGAAGATTGGGCAATCTACTTCCGTAGTGATACCACGTCGGAAACCCACGGAGGAGTCACTATGAGTCGGAGATGACTCGACAACATAACAACAACAGGCTGGGCCTGACCCCCCAGTGGAATAGCTGTTGACCTTGCTGAAAGGCATTAGCATCACCCTGACCCTGCGCTCTAAGGGGACGTGGGGCTGCCATGTTTGCCACCTGGTACCCATGTCCTGCAGGCTTATTTGGAGGACAACCTCAGTGCTTCCTTCTCAGCAGCTCCAGCTAAGCTCAGTTTGTTGTTGTTACTGAGCTCTGTGAGAAAGCCCACTGTGTACAATTGATGAAACCATTGAAGTAAATGGGAGAAGGGAGATCCTCATTTCTCACCCACATCCCCAGATACCTGGAGGACTCTTACTGTGGAGGCAGCTGGAAAACTGCTGATCCTCATGGTTGTGAGATCAAAGAAGGGCACGCAGTTACACGTAAGCATGAGGTTGCATTGTTGGAACAGCTGCATCCTACTGCCATTTCCCTCGAGGCCTTTTCAGGGCAATGTGGTGGGTCCCATAGACATGGGTTGTGATCCCATAGAAAAATCTCATATCCCTAATCCAGGCGCTTCTCAGTGGTGTCCCTCCTTCATCACATCATTGGAAATCCCAGGGTAAACTCTATATTATGTGGAATTTCTCATCTTTTCAGGCTTTTGGCCAAACCATATGAAATTGATATTTTTGTGGGTCAAACTTCTCAAATATCAGCAATTTGTTGGGGTTGACATTGATAGCTAGGGTACACAGATCAGCTTGCTTAGACCTCAGCCACTGGTCATTGAAGGGACTAGTGAGTGGTAAGTCATGTTCTCTAACTTAAGCCTTTTCTATCAGGTACAGAATGTTTGCAAGTGCACTATTAGCATTGGGTGACAGGTGACAAAAAAAAATTCAAATTCTTGGTTTTTTATTTAAGAGTTTCATTGGGCTTGTCTTCTCTCTCTTCTTTCCACAAAGGGACAACTACACACTTCAGATCAATCCTAATTCCGGCCTCTGTAATGAAGACCACTTGTCCTATTTTACTTTTATTGGAAGGGTTGCTGGTCTGGCAGTATTTCATGGGAAACTCTTAGACGGTAAGTTGTTGAAGCATCTTAAAGTAATAAACATAGGACAGTGCTCTTTGTAGTTCCTTGTTACGTGGCTTAGCTTTCCCCATCATAGATTTTAAGCAAAAACTTCACTGGTTCTCTGTAATTCAATAAATTATTTTTTATGTTTTCCCTTGAATGGAGCTGCTTTGTCCCCTGGTACTGTCTTAATTTGGGCACTGAAGATACGGTGTCTACACACAGTTTAAAAAATTAAAACAAAACCCTGCAGTTTAAAACACAGAACATTCTGTATTTATTGCACTTTATCTGTTTTCAGAATAACTTTCTTTTTGCAACAGCTAGATTTGTTGACAGATGGAAAAGCTAATTGAAAACTTAATTAAAATGATCTAATCCATCCAGTATCCTGCCATTGCTCCATTTGTCCCCAAATTATTTTTTAATGTGAAGAGACTAAATAATTTCAAAGCAGTGTTATAACTCGGCTAATAACCTTATCCCCTGACTCACTGCTGGAACATGATACAAAATCATCTCACTGCTATTTAGAGCATACAAATCAAAGAAGGATGTCAAGGCACCTTGGGAGGTGGAAGTCAGACCCCCTGCTTAGCTGAATCTGTGGGTTTTTCATAAAGACTTCTTATGCGTTTAGTCTTTTCAAAAGTGGCACCCTTAGGGGAGAGCATGATAGAAATCATCAGGGAAGAGAGACAATCAGATACTTTTTGAGAATTTAGAAGTGAAATGATTTGGAAGACAGTAGATTTGAGGTTGGCATTGCAGTCACTGTGGAGAGGAATTTCCAGGCGATTTGTAATTGTGTTCGTTGCATTTATGGAGCCTTGGCTACTCCAGTGAATAATTGATGTACCCTCTGCTTTTCCTTTAATGTATTTCTACTGTTAATGGCTAATTGATTTTGATCTTCTGGTTTCAATATTTCTTTTTGGTGGGGGAAGTAAACACTTTCTGATTAGAGAGAAAGTACATTTGGTAAGGAGGAAGGGAAGGAAATAAAGAAGTGAGGGAGGGCAGGAAGAAAGGAAGGAAAGAAACGTTTTAATTTGCAACATTGGAGTCGTGTTGCTAGATTATTTCAGACTGTTCAAATTCACTTCAACCTTCTTAGAAGCATCTTTTTCCTACAAAATTAGAAGACAGTTCTAGTCACTGCAGGGGAATATGAAGAACTGTAAGATAGAGTCCTGACCTCCATGAACTTATATTGAGGGGGGAGCGTGTTACAATGACAGTGTCCAAGCAGAATGCAGGACCCGAGCACTTAGAGAAAGCACTTTGAGTAGAGGGCTGGAGGTGGCTTCATGAGGGCCATCACCCCTTGAAAGAAGCAGAACTTGACATCCAGAGGCTGAGGTTCAGGAAAGAGAGGACTGGCCTTGGGGCGGATGGAGGGAGTAATGGGTGCAACCTGCTAGATAGGGGAGTCCAGGGGGCTGCTCAAGTGGTCTAGGGAAAAAGAGATCTCAGTGCTGGTCAGGAATAGCAGTACTAAAGACCAAGATGCCCACAGATGCATGTAGTCAGCACTGTCTTACATTATAAAAAAATATGACTGCCCCTTTAGACAAGGCATGCACACGCTGTATATCTGCCCATACACCCTGTTATCAAAGTCATCCTTTTTACGTCAGTAGACACTGAATTTCAAAAGACACTTAATCTTGAAAGGTAGCTTGAGAAGACAAAATATTATAATGGAATATTCAAAGACCTAGAGTTAGAACACCAATAGAGAAAAATATGTTTGGTATTTTTCATGCTGAAAGAACTAAAGGAAAAAGCCTCAAGTTGCAATACTGTAGAATTCTGTGGGCAAAATGTTGAACGACACAAGAAGCATCAAAAGAAGATGAGAGGAATACACAGACTCACTGTACCAAAGAGAATTGGTCAGTGTTTATCCATTTCAGCATTTCAGGAGGTAGCTTATGATCAAGAACCATGGTATTGAAAGGAAGAACTCCCAGCTAAACTAAAGGCACTGGTGAAAAAGAGGGCTCCAGGAAACTACAGAATGCCGATTGAGATGTTTCAGCAAATGGATGCAATGCTGGAAGCACTCACTCATCTATGCCAAGAAATTTGGAAGACAGCTACCTGACCAGCTGACTGAAAGAGATCCTTATACATGCCCATCCCAAAGAAAGATGATCCACCATAATGTGGAAATTATCAAACAATACCATTACTACCACACACAGGTAAAGTTTTGCAGAAGATAACTCAAAAATGGATGCAGCAGTACATTGACAGGGAGCTGCCAGAAATTCAAGGCAGATTCAGAAGAGGATGCAGAGCAAGGGATATCACTGCTGATGTCAGACAGATCTTGGCTGAAAGCAGAGAATGCCAGCTACATGTTTACCTATGTTTTATTGACTGCAAAGGCATTTGACTGTGTGGATCATAACAAATTATGGATAGCATTGTGGAGAACACTTAATTGTGCTCCTGTGAAACCTTTACATAGACCAGGAGGCAGCTGTTCAAACAGATCAAGGGGACACTACCCAAAAACCAAACCCATTGCCATCGAGTCAATTCCAACTCCTAATAACCCACCAGCCACTCCTCACAAGGAAGGTTGGGCAATCCTCCTTCCGTAGTGATACTGCCTCGGAAACCCAAGGAGGGGTCGCTATGAGTCGGGGCCGACTCGACGGCACATAACGACAACAATGACCTTGTAGGACTATCTCTATAGGGTTTTCCAAGGCTGTAAATCTTTATGAAAGCATACTACCTCATCTTTCTCCCATGGAGCAATAGATAGATTCAAACCATGACCTTTTGGTGAGCAGCCAAATGTCTTAACCACTGGGCCACCAGAGTTCCTAAGGGAATACTTCTTGGTTTAATAATCAAGAAACATTTGAGTCAGGGTTGTATCCTTTCACTTTATTATTCAGTCTGTATGCTGAGCAAATAACCCAAAAAGCTAGACTATACGGAGAAGAGTGTGGCATCTGGATTAGAAGACTCATTAACAACCTGTGATACCCAGATGACATAACCTTGCCTGGGAAAGTGCAAAGGACTTGAAGCACTTGGGGGTGAGGATCAAAGTCTGCCACCTTCAGTATGGATTACACCTCAACATAAAGAAAACAGATCCTCACAACTGGATCAATAAGCAACATCATGATAAACAGAGAAGACTGGAGTCATGAGTCATCAAGGATTTCATTTCACTTGGATCCACAATCAATGCTCATGGGCACAGCAGTTAGGAAATCAAACATCATATTACATTGGTTACATCTGCAAAAGACCTCTTTAAATTGTTAGAAAGCGAAGATGTCACTTTGAGGATTAAGGTGTACCTGACCCAAACCATGGTATTTTTAGTCACCTTATATGCATGTAAGAGCTCGACAATGAATAAGGAAGACCAAAGAAGAATTGATGCATTTGAATTATGACGTTGGTAAAGAATATTAACTATACCATAGACTGTCAAAATAACTAACAAATCTGTCTCGGAAGAAGTATGTCCAGAATGACCTTAAAAGGAAGATGGTGAAACTTCATCTTAGGTACTTTGTCATGTTACCTGAAAAGACCAGTCTCTGGAGAAGGACTTCATACTTGGTAAAGTAGAGACAATCTGCCAAAAAGAGGAAGACCTTCAGTGAGATGGATTGGCACTATGGCTGCGACAGTGGAGTCAAGCAGCAACAATTGTGAGGATGGCTGAAGATTAGGCAGTGTTTCATTCTGTTGTACATAGAGTCGCTTTGAGTTGGAAACAACTGGACAGCATCTCCCAGCAGCAGACACTGAAGGTGTTTAGGACCACACTGAGCCAGTGGGAGTCAGGAAATGCTGCAGAGGGTCAGTGACTGATTCAATTTGGGGCTGGGGCGAGGGCTGTGGGCACGTGAGCCTGAGGTTGTAGGCCTGGCTATACTGATGCCTTAATGGGAGGAGGAATGTGATGCTTCGCGTGTGAGGTGGTAGGTTTGTCCTCACTGTCCTTGCTTTCCCCTGGAATATTGTACAGATCTCCTGGATCATTGCCACCATGCCCCTTTTCTGCCCTTTCTCCCCATTACTGCCCAAGTAATGATACTGAAATTGCAGATGGGATTTTTCTCCACTTTTTCATTGACTCCCCACTGCACCAGGGCGAAGTCCAAACTCTCTGGGACCACACACAAGCTGTGCAGGCTCCAGTCCCTTCTCTGGTCTCTCCTCCCATGACACTCAACCTTCCACCCTGTCAAGCCACTGGCCAGTCCACGGACATGTTCATCTGCTCAGTTTGCCTTCTTCTCCCCCAGTTCATGTACTCCTACTTGGCATTGAAGCTTCTTGTCACCTCCCAGGAGCCTGTTGGACCCCTTCCTGCTGTCCTCGTCTCTGTCAGTACAGCTGCCCTCCTTACTACTGTACCATTGACCATGCCCCATCTGCTGTCCTTGATTAGGATAGGTCTTTGAGGGATCTATCCTGGGCTTTCACTCGAACTGAAGAAGGATTATTTTTTTTTACTTTATGCTCCAATGCCCTGCATTGTCAAGATTTGAAACTAACCCCGCTTTTCACCCTATTTTAGGTTTCTTCATTAGGCCATTTTACAAAATGATGCTGGGAAAGCAGATCACGCTGAATGACATGGAGTCTGTGGTGAGTATGACGGAGCCTCCCCCTGAAGGTTCAGAAAGAGTGGAGACTATGCTCATTGTCATGGTGATTGTATGGGTGTTGCCGTTCAGTATGTTGCAGCAAGGAACATTTGCTTTGAGAAGTTAATTATCACCCTCATTTTTGTAATAAGCAAGTCATTGTTCATATTTTGTAGAATCATGGTATTTGGGCAGGTATACCCAGTCACAATTACTGCTGCTTACCCAGGAATGAGACTTGTATGAACAAATTAAATCCAAGGGAAACCTGGAGACATTGTGGTAGCCAGGGTGTCCACCTAAGAGCTAATACTGAATGATTAGAGGTTCATCCACTTCCCCTCTGTTTTCTGACCTCATGCACATGTCAGGGGCAGAAGGCCAGAGCAGCAGGCAAAGGGAGGAACAATTACACAGGGCATCCTCAGCACTGCCAAGTGCGTGAACGCAACAACGTAGAAAGAAAACTAGGTAGAAAGTGAATGCTGCGAGAAGTTCTCTGACAAGTGGAAAATGATCTGGTTTTCATGTTGCATTTACTCATTTTACTCGTAAGGAGCTCTGGTGGTGTAATGCCTAAGGCATTTGACTATTAACCAGAAGGTTGGTGGCTCAAACTTACCATCTGCTCTGTGGAAGGAAGATGGAGCAATCTACTAGACAGATACATTTTAGAGGTGAAAGGGTTTTCTGTGGAGACAAAAATGGAAGCTCTTTCCCTAATGTACTTTCTGCTTGTTTTTCTCTAATTCACGAGCACCCCCGTATCTGCCTCAGGTCCGGGTGTGCCTGCCTATGTGCTGGTGTTCACACAGGACCATTGGGAAGCATTGCAGTCTTCTGTGTATTTGCAGAAACCCTCCAGGGCCCCTCAGCCTTGCTGTGATATCACCCATGTCTCTTACACCCGTGGGTATAGCAGCTGTTTCCTGGGCTCTGACTAACACTGCCCACTGACCGTCTACCCATCATCACTGCATGACAGGAGGGGAGGATGCTAGCCACACTTTTGAATGCACTTGGCTGATTTTGCAGTCGGGGGTAGGTTTGTGCTCAAAGCCATAGTGCCAGGCTCAGATTTCTGTTCAACTTTGGCCTTTTATTTGTGCTGTGTACTTTCATTGCTGCATAATGAGGAAGGTAAGAATGTACAGACTTCTCTGAAATGCTCAAAATTAATCGTATACCACATGGTGACAGTATTTTCAGTGCAGCAGGCATGTTCTTTTTTGCCTTCTCAGAGCCCATCTGGTCCGCAGCAGTAGAGTCCTTGTGCTGAGCAGAGATAGGTGATGAGGACACTCGTGACCGGCTCAGGCTTCTGATGTAGGGGCAGCCTCCCTGTGTGCCCAGGCCTGCTGGCACAGAGCAGTAGAGGCCCGGGGAAAGGACACAGCTTAACACCATTGGCATCTAGCTAGTTCGAACATCTTCCTGTTTCCTCTATCATCTTCACTCTTATAAGATGAGAGATGTTTGTTTTATTTGTTCATTGTGTTGAAAATAGACATAACAAAATATTTGCTGATTCAGCTATTTTTGCTTGTAGACTTCAGTGACATTGATTACATGTTGTGTAACCATTCTCACTGTCCTTTTCTGAATTAAGCCACCACCAAGAACATAAACTCAGTGCCCTCTAAGCAGCAACTCCCCCTTTTCCCTCTCTCCCAGCCCTGGTAACCAGGAGTCAACTTTGGTTTCTGTATGTATTTGCCTGTTTGATGTAAGTGGGATTCAGTAGTATTTGATTTGACTCATTTCCCTCAACATAACGGGTTCCACGTCTGTCCACGTTGTAGTGTGTAACAGGGCTTCATTTCCTCCTTGAAGACGAGAAGTCGTTTTTTACTCTCTCCCTGTTACGTTGTAGAGAACAACTTGTCACTCCTCAAACATTCTTCCATTTACATTTTACATTAAAAGGGAGAGAGTTGATGTGAGGTAGAGCGGGAAACCTTACCTTAGTGGGTAACGGCAATTCTTGGATGTTCTGGACAGAGTTACATTGTTGTTATGTGCCGTCGAGTCGGCCCCAACGCATAGCGACCCCGCCTTGGGTTTCCGAGGCAGTATCACTACGGAAGTAGATTGCCCCATCTTCTTTCCGAGGAGTGGCTGGTGGGTTTGAACCTCCAGCCTCTGGTTAAAGCAGTCAAATGCCTTAGGCACTATGCCACCAGAGCTCCCAGAGTTACATTAGAAGGGCTTAATTATTTAAAGCAGTCCAATGAGCTTGTAATTTGGAAGGAAAAAAGTTTGACTTTGATTTCTGTGTCATTCCTGTAGGATAGTGAATATTACAACTCTTTGAAGTGGATCTTAGAAAACGACCCCACGGAGCTGGACCTCATGTTCTGTATAGATGAAGAGAACTTCGGGCAGGTACGTGCGCGAGCTGCTCTTTGGTGTTTAGAGAGCATTTCTTTTTCCCCGGGCTGTAGCAGGACTTTCCTGGACAATTGAAACAGCTGTCAGGAGTTCCCTGTGTTAAGTATCATCTAACTGTATCTGTACTTTGTTGTCATGCCTGGAAGCCAGGACCCAATGACAGCCCTTTCTCTCTTCCAGCACAGAGTTAGAGGCATTCTAAGAGGTCTTTAGTGGTGTGCCTTAACACCTACTTCTAATCTAATGCAAATCCCAGTGTGAATTTTCACTTGTGCCTTGCTTTTAGAATTTAGTTCCTAAAAAAAATGGTGTCATGGTTTCCATTTTTAACCAGAAGTAGGAGACTGGGGGTGTTGGGGAGCTTAGTTTTTCTTCTGCTTTATGGTCGTATTGTCATGATGAAATGAGTCTTCGATGGGGCTCAGCCTCCTATGCCGTTCCTTCTTGCTCTGCACCCACACAAATGGTCATCAAGGCTGGATCAATCATCAAGGGGAATTTTAAAGGTAAAGTTGCCTGCCTGGAGTTTTCATCATCCTAAGGTTCTGGGGAATGTGATTGTCTTCTGCCTGAAACCTTTGATTCCCATACACACACACCCCTTGAGTAAGTGATGTGTATGGGATTATTCTCAAGATACTATCTGACCCTGGGACCCTCACAAAAGCCCACCAATATTTTCCATCTCTGAGACCAAATCTACATGATCTTGAAATTAATTCGATCATGGAGCATGTTTTAAGCTTTGTCATATGGGAAATACAACAGGTGGCCTCTCTGCTCCTTCATAGATCATCAGCACTCCACGATCAAAACGTCTGTTTCGGGTCTGTTATCCCTTAAAGCAGCTGTACTGATTCTTACCAGTGAGCTATGAGGTCAGACCCCTTGAAGTCTTTTTGGTCTCTCTAGTGTTTGGCTTAGGAGCTCTGGTAGCGTAGTGTCTAAGGCACTTGACTGCTAACCAGAAGGCTGGCAGTTCAAACCCAACAGCCACTCCTCGGAAGGAAGATGGGGCAATCTACTTCCGTATTATTACTGCCTCGGAAACCCAAGGAGGGGTCGCTATGAGTCAGGTCTGACTCGACAGCACATAACAACAACAACAACAACAACAGTGTTTGGCTTCTCATGGCTGCTAACTCAGTGTTTATTGAGCAAATGAGTGAATCGTCCTACCCTAGTGTAGAAAACTCAATGCTGTTACAAGGTCACGGAAGTCTGAAGGGTTGAAGAATCAAAGTCATTTTACTTTCAGTGATGATTTTCGTTTTCTTTAAGCTGAACAATGAAGGGCCCTAAGGGCCAGTGTTCAGAGGCTAACACCTCCATAGTCATCCTGGGGCTGGGGCTGCCTTTCACTTTTAACAGATGAAGGAAGAAAGAAGAGGAAGACTTCAGAATTCATCCTGTGTGTCAAATGCATAAAAAATCTTTTTTATGTATCCACTTACAAATAACCGTAAGACTAAGTTAAATAAAATAGTCTAGAAAACTGCAGTAAAACCTACAGAAGTCAGACCTGTGTAAGACAGGAGCCTGTCAGAGAAGGAAAACTCAAATCTATTCCACTAACAGAGAGCAATGGGAAAGTGCTAATGCACCCTGTCGAAGGCAGAAAACTTGTGGGACCCCAAAAACAAGGCAGACCTTCCCTGTATCGGCTCTCGCAGGTTTCAGTGCCCACGTCAGAAGCTGATGACCTGGAAAAGCTTCATTACTGTTAACTATACCTATTCTCATCTACTGAATAAAAACCAGACAGGATGTTGGGCCTCCTAAGTCAACTTCTAATAAAGATCCTGCTTGTCACAGCTCATGCCAATTATTTGTGAAAACGGTTCTCAAAACTCACTTAGTGCCCTAGGTTCTGTTGAGTTTTGAACAGAATCTGAGAGATGAATGCAGTGATCACAGCAGACCCATGCATGAGTGCTGACTCCTGGCCCAGTCTGTTCAGTCACTGTCTTCCCTTTTAATCACTGCCTGGCCTTTTGAGAGAGCTAATCTGATTGGCAGAGAGCTGATGTATCTGTTTTGCATTCTGGTAAGCAATTTAGACCATATTAAGCAGCCCTGTATTGATCCTGTCTCCCTTATCCAGTCTGTCACCAAGCCCTGTTCATTTTACCTCCTAAATAGTTCTCTCTCTCGTCTGCCACCATCGCCCAAGTTCAAAACACCATCTTCTCTCATAGTCTCTTATAGAGTCTCCCCACACCCACCTCCACCTTTTATCATGACAGTGTGAGCTTTTCAACATGTAAAAGTAGTCACGTCATTCCTCTGCTGGAAACCTTCAGGGGCATTCCACTGCCTTCAAGATAAAGACTCAAATCCTTAAAGTGTCCCCGGGCTCCTTCATGGCTTGGCTGCACTTACCACTCCCCAAGACAGGGTTCACATCACAAAGCTGCCCCTCCACATTCCTTATCTACCCCCACCCTGGCCTTCTTGAACACCCCAGCTTCTTCCTCCCCCGAACATTGCCCCACACTGTACCTTCTTTTGGGGACACACTTTGTCCACTGTCAGCTCACGTCTGAAGGCAGCACTAGGTCATGATAGGAGTCCCTACTGAGGCGAACAGTGATGCACTTGACTAGTAACAGAAAGGTTGGTGGTTTGAACCCACTCAGTGGCATTCAAGCTGGTGCTCTGCTTCCAGAAGGCCACTCCTTGGAAACCCTGTGAAGCGCAGTTCTCTGCATGCCTGGGTCACCATGAGTTAGCAGTGACTCGATGGCAGCTGGGAGGGGTGTGGTTCTGTGTGTGCTCTTTCACTACCTGGCCCGGTGCTGGTCCATGATAAGAACTCAAAATGGTGCTCTTGACCCAAAGAATGTGGACATCGATGACTTGCCTGTCCAAGCTTTTCACCTCTCAGCCCTCTGCCCACCTGTGGACGGTGTACTGCAGTTTACTCCAACCCAGGAGGAAGCCCATGATGCGCTGTGTAAAAAGTCAAGAATCATTCCTTTCTTTCAGAAGGGGAAAGCCAGTGTGTTTACAGGGGTCAACTGTACATGCCATCCATCTTCCTGGAGTGTGTGAAGCTCTTTTTTTCATTCTTTCCCCAATTAGATGTCAGCCCACGAAGTTCAGTGATAGCTGTCACTTTCCTGGTAATGGAACAGCAGCAATTTCTATTATTTTCTGGTTGGTGAGCTTCTGGAGCTGTAGGTTTCTGGGGCCCCCTATGAATTTGTTTCATGGGAAAGAGTATGTCCTACACACATATGCTCCTAGACACACACGTACATACGCTGTCCCCCAGGAGCGGGAGCCCTTTTACAGCCCCAAACTGGTCAAATCAGCTCTGACTCAATGGCAACCCTGTGTGGTCAGAATCGTGCTCCGTACGGTTTTCAGCGGCTGATTTTTCAGATAGATCACCAGGCCTTTTTGGGGTACCTTTGGGTAGCCTCAAACCTCCAGCCTTTTAGTTAGCAGTTAACTGTGTTAACTGGTTGCAGCCTCCTTTACACCAAGTGAACTCTTGACTGCAGGCCCATAGTGGCCCTGTAGGACAGAGTAGAACTGCCCCGTAGGATTTCCAAGGCTGCAGACCTTTACAGAAGCACTGTCTCATCTTTCTCCCACAGGTGGTTTCAAACAGCTAACCTTGTTAGCAGCTGAATGCGTTAACTACTACACCACCAGAGCTCCTCCTGCTCCTCTAAAACAAAAAACTCGCTGCTGTCAAGTCGGATCCAACTCATAGTGACCCCTCCTTGGGTTTCCAAGGCGGTATTGCTACGAAAGTAGATTGCCCAATCTTCCTTCAAGGGAGTGGCTGGTGGGCTGGTGGGTTTGAACTGCTAGCCTTCTAATTAGTAGTCAAATGCTTTAGGCACTATGCCACCAGAGCTCCCCTCCTGCTCCTTAGGGAACAATAATTAAAAAAAAAAAAAAAAAAAAAAGTGGGTTGGGGAAAGAGATTGAATTGAGTAGAGAGACAGAGACTGGGGTGAGGGGCAGAGCTGAGTCCTGGCAGTATTGCTGCTGCTTTGCAGGAAATTGTGTACCATGTTTTATGGCAATAAAGTTTAATTTTCAGAACTAAATAAAATGCATTAGAATTGAAACACTGGGTTGGGGAAAGAGATTGAATTGAGTAGAGAGACAGAGACTGGGGTGAGGGGCAGAGCTGAGTCCTGGCAATATTGCTGCTGCTTTGCAGGAAATTGTGTACCATGTTTTATGACAATAAAGTTTAATTTTCAGAACTAAATAAAATGCATTAGAATTTGGTCTCTGTGGTCTTGATGAATGTACCCTCTTTCTCCTCTTAAACACAATTGATTTCTTGAGAAATGAATAACATGAAAAAAAAGTTACTATACTCCATTATCGCTAACATATGAAGAATAATTAAAACTCAGAAATAACCGTAAAATCATCTGCCTTTAGTGATAACATCTTTAAAAATGTCACATCTTAACAATTTAAAAGCTTCATTAGACATTCCCTTGTGCAGAGAGCCCATTTGCTAGAAGACATTTCTGAATAAATTTTGTTTATCTCTCTTTTATACTAAGATGTTATTATTCAATTAATATGCAAAATAACTTCATGATGATGATTGTTGTTTCATCTTTGTAATTACAGACATATCAAGTGGATCTGAAGCCCAATGGGTCAGAAATAATGGTAACAAATGAAAACAAAAGGGAATATATTGAGTAAGTATACAGATATTTATAACCTTTTCATACACCAAATAGCATGTTTGGTTGACAAGTCTGTCAGACTGTTCATGCATGTTACGGTCATGAGTTTATTGGATGACAGCACAAGTTCCCTCGGGCATGAGCTACTGGGAAGTTGAATTGATTAGAAGTTCAACTTGTATCAGAGGAACCCTGGTGGCTCAGTGGTCGAGCACTTAGCTGCTGTCCGGAAAGTCGGTGCTTCATACCCACCAGCCCCTCTGCTGGAGAAAGATGAAGCAGTCAGTCTGCTTCCATAGAGAGTTACAGCCTTGGAAACCCCATGGAGCAGTTCTGCCCTGTCCTGTAGAGTCACTATGAGTCAGAAGCAACCTGAAAGCAACAGGTTTTACTTGTATCATGACTTCAATGAGCTGTCACAGGAACAAGTGGTGGAAGGAAGAGGGTGTATGTTATTGAGTACTATGGTGAATACTCTCTTGGGATATGTGGATATCTAGCAAAATTTAGAATTGCAGTAATAGAACACAATATAAATCACCAGTGGGGTGAACTATCAAAGATGAAACATTTCATCTCTTTCCTTCTTATGAAAACATAAGGAAGATAGTTCAAATGGATAGGAAGAATTCAACACATGCAGATATAATGGATAGTCTCTAATACTGGTAATTTTCTGAACTCAGTCAGCCTCAGTTGGTGGAACAGAAGGTTAAATTTTTGTAGAAGTCGCACTGTTAAGTAACCCTGGGACATTTCTATTATTCAGAAGGGCTTCTGTTAAGCATATTACTTTTCCTTTGAAAGATACGTATATGCTTCAAGCACACAACTCTGCATTATTCCACGGGTTTCCAGGTTGCCCTTGTTCTTTGCTAGTTTAGACTGGACCAGGGACAAAAGGATACAGTATCGTTTGGTTCCTGCGTCCTGGTTTCTGCCCATGTCAGAGATGATAGTGAGTGGCCTGAGCTCCTTCTTTGCACTCAGCGCTTGGTGTCAACATTTCTTCTCATTTGAAATTGGTAAGTGGACTGGAATTTGGAGAATTGGCTAAGGCACTGAGCACCTTTGAGTGTAACAAAGACCTGCTGTCCTTCTTAATTGAAACGAGATGGAGAATGTTTGCCATGCTTAGAGACCAT